GCCGAGATTGTGGAAGCGAGAGGGTCCCTTTTACCACCCATGTGGGGGGGGGCGCTGAGTATATCAAAGGAAAAACTCAGTAACCTTTTTATCGTGAACGGTGCCTTTAAGAACTGTCCCCGTTGAACTCCCGTTTCCCTTGTCACAAATCCATAACAAAAAGGACAACTCCACAAAACAATGCAAGGTCCGGGGGTCGAATCATGTAGTCGCCCAGGCTTATCAAGTCCTCCATCCCCTTGGGACTCTTTAATTGGAAGCAGACTTGCCTGGGAGTATGAGAGCACAAACTTTCACACTCGCTGGCCACCTCAAGCCTTTTTATAGGCTACAACACGCTAAAAAATGCCATCATGGTTGCGAATGGAAGTCAGATGCTGGGCGCATCACAGAAAAACCAATGTTTATATATTTGTTTGTATATTTATTTATTTATTTATTAGCTGCACTCAAGATGCGCCACAGCTAACGGGCAAATGTGTTAGTACTTCATTTTACGGAAAAGCAGATCACTTCCGAGAAATCAAAGTTTTGGAACAAATCTTCTGAAAAATTATAAACATGAAGAATGTGGTGGAAAGTGAGTGAGGTTGATCAACATTTTTAGATGAGCCACGCACTCGTATTCCATTTATACTTGCTAGGTGGGGAGTATCCAAACCTTTTCCCTGAACTTGTTCAAGCCGAATTCTTATCGTTTGAGTTGTGATTCAAACTTATAGTACTCCACTAATTCTGGCTTTCTTCAGAATTTTTGTGATTGGAAATGTAAATTTGTTCTGAAAAGCAGCATGATGGGTCAGTAGAGCATTGCGACTTTGTCAAAGGAAGTTCGGCGATCGATCTGTACTGTATGTATGAAACCGAAGGCCGATACACAAAAATCTCAGAGAATGAAGTTCCTCAAACTCAGTCAGTCATTTTTACCATATAAGTTATGACTTTTAGTGTAACGGTTTGACTACAAGTAGATCAGCCCATATTCTTTCGATACCTCTTACGTAATTTTCAAATTTTTTTATACAAAGGGCTTACTACGTAGTCCTCTCAAAAAGCCTATTACACTGAAAGTTTATCACTTCCAAAACACAGCGAATAGATTTTTTAATTAAAAATGTAAACGAGATCATGGATTATTGAATTGGAGGATTGGACCCATCATAAGAGCAGCATACTAGTGATAAACCGGAAAACACGAAAACAATCTGCCTGTATGAAACAGCAATACTAATTCCTGTAAATAGCAAAGTTTAGGCTATTTTCAAGCAAGTATGGCGTGCAGCAGGGTCCAGAATAAGCTTTGCAAAATTTGGAAAATTTTAGAATAAAAGCGAGTCAGCTATGGGTGTGGGTACTTCTATCCAAAAATCCCGTCGCGCGCAATGGAGAGAAGGGTTTTAATTGCAAGTGGAAGGATACGGTAGGCGTCGCGAAACCAATGCCGCCTGCCGTGGGAATTTGGGAAGTACCGCCACCCAAGTAAAAAACAGCCAGAAGTTCTTTCACCCAGTTGCTTTCAATCCTTCTTGAAAACGGGGGCGATGCTTTCCCCCAAATCCCATGACAAGCGGCAGTGATTTCTCCAAGATTACCGTGTACCATAACTGGAAATTTATTCTTTCCTCCATAGATGAACGCCTTTCAAAAAAGGCAAGCAGCTGTTGATTAGATTAAGCGGTGTAATTGTTACGTCCAACAAAAGCCGATAAGCGGTTGACAGCTAGGTCGTACAAGTGAAGGAAAATATAGTTCGGTGACATGTTTTTTGAATAATTTAGAGAAGAAAGGAAACCCCTCACCTTCAAGTTTCAAATGTGGCATGAATTTCTCTGATACTTCTACGTCTCGTTTCTGGTAAATAACGGGTATAAAAACATAGATATAAAATATGGAAAAAAGTGAGTAAGAGGAATGAATATTGGTGAATACGATCCTGAATGCGTACTTATTTATAAGAGTATTCAGAGATAAACATGACCTCAAGTTACTGCTGAATTACGCTTACAACTATTTCTATACACTCTGAAGGGGAGTGGAATTATTGACTACATATTTGGGTGTTTCCGCGAGCCGCCTGTACCATCAACGTTGTAAAATGAAAATCGTCGCCAACTGACCCACTTCCCCGTTAAAGCAGAAGCTTTACGTGTATAATTTCACCTGAGAGAGTTTAAGCTTCTCCCATACACGCTACTGTTGTCAAAGAGAATCCGCGGCACCGCAGGCACCATCCACAATGCTATCCGATGCTGTCAGGCAGAACCCCCACCGACGCAGGTTTACTCTGCAGCTACTAATTAAATAGATATATTTATCAAATTCCTATTACAATTTTAGGCCTACTGTCGTGTAGGTTATTGAGAATGTGAAAGAAAATAGGGCTAAGGCATTGCATGTCGTTTCACTGCCCATACAAAAGGTAAGAAGAAGCGCAAAGGCCCATGTTATACAAATAAATTCTGCGAAATAAAACTTAGTACGGATGCTAGTGGGCTTTTTAGTTTTCACTACTCCCCTTCCGCGATCATCTGATAGAAGGGCCAGGAGCGCAAGATGAATAGCTATTCTGTTGAATGTACTATGCAGAACGGTACTGGATATCAGAACGAGTATAAACGTAGAAAAGCGCTACAAAAATATAAAAACTCACATTAATGTCCGGAAATACGAAACCAATCAGACTGCTCGTAGTCCAGTTAGCTGCAGACATATAGGCGTTGCCATTTGCTCGAGCATTCGTTAAGAATAGTTCCGAGGCCAAAATCCAAGATATGGCAGCTGTAATGGGAAAGGATGAAGACCTCACTGGAAAATTAATGGGCAAAAGTAAAACAGCAGACAGGAAGGCCTTCACTACCACCTGATCTTATTAATAGAAGACAGAAGATTAAGTATTTTTCCTCAATCAATCCCGTTCTTGGGATGCGCCCCGCAGTCGACGATTGGATTCCCCGTTGCCGAAACAAGACCACCACCTGTTTAGAGCCGATACATCTTAGGATAGAAAAAGGAAGAGCTTCTGTCCTCACTTATTTCCTCTTGGATACAACAGCTTTTGACAATATCGGCTAATTCCCATGGAGATCCCAAAGTAATGACACTTCCAAGTAAACCAGTGGTGATTCCTGCGCGGAAGTTTGGGGCCCGGTGCGCACGAATAACAGTTCCATCCTCTTGTTCCTCTAATTGAGGTTTAACTCAAATCTCACCTGGTCCAAGAGCGAATGAAAAAACAAAAATCATGACCGATGCAACGCTGATATACTTTGCAATGGCCATTTCCTTATAAGTAATTGATACTGTCAAAGACAAAGTCGTTATGATCATTCCGATAGTACCCAACTTCAATAGTGATTTGCGACCACATTTTGGTCGATCAATCTAGAATGGAAAACCTATGATAGAATCGGAGACCGATCCCTTCCTTTAAACAATCTGAAGTGGTGGCCAATTTCAGTTCAGACAATGAGAAGGAAGCCGAAGCAACTGAGGCAATAAGTAATTCGACACTTACATAATACATTTGTATGAACGTTGTCAGAAGATTCACTGTGCCCACCATGATGGTGGCGAAGATGGCATCTCCACCGTTCAGACCGACATCTTCGAAGATCATTGTCGAGTAGAACATGACAACGTTGATTCCTTCAAAAAAAAGTGACCAAATGATAAAAATGAAAATGCCTTAATAAAGCCGAGTTAAACATTTGCAGGTGAGATTACAATCGAATTACTAGGACATCACAGTGGGTTCAAGTGCATTCCTCCAAAGAATGGAACTCCATGGTTGACTTACCAAAAAATCTTATAGAAGGGGCTTTGGTGGCAGAGGATATCGGGCGTTATCGCAGAGGAAAAGGGGTATAAAGGTTCAACGACAATCCGAATCACAGCCGTGAGAACCCCTGCGCTGGCACCCCCTCATACGTATGGATTGATAAAGGATCCCCAGATCATCGAGTGAACATATCTCACAACCTCTTTTTGTCGTGAAACCTTCGTAACACGCCATAACCGCATCCGAAAGTGAAGTAAACCGAAGCTATTTGTAAGGGAATCCAGAAGTAGAGAGGTGAAGAGCAAAGGCTGGGGAGCTGATTGAGCACCACAACTATCAGCGAAAGGAATACTCACCTGTTAACTGTTGAAATATCATCATTACAATGACAATCATCGTGGGCTGTCGGAGTTCTTTACGAAACATATCCAACATCGATGGTCGATCGAGTAACGTATCCCATACCGCAGCCGCCTCAGCTTTCATGCTGACAATTTCAGCGCTGACCTGAACCATGTATTCGTCCAATGGCGGAGTTGTACGAAGTTGTGCAAGTCAACGCTAATCAAGCGTAAAACAAGTTGCTTGATCATCAAACGTATAACTGATGTCTGATTGAAAGGTTCAGTAGCCAACCAAAAATCAACGGGCTCCGTATCGGGCTGGCACCCATTACGATCAAGATTAAAGGCAAAGGATTTTGTGGAAAATAAGCAGAAGATGTAAAAACGGATGGGAAGGTGCATCTTTGTGGATCCAGCAGAGGCTCTCTCAGCTCTACGATGTAGTCGTAAGCTCATTAAATTGTTCAGAGAAAAAGAAAGAGTCCATAGACGTACATTTCGTGTTTCTCGTAAGATCTCCAAATCTTCCCTGGCTTGTTCTACGTCACCTCTGATACACAAAGTGAACCGTGGTGATTCGGGAATCATCGGCAATGTGATAACTTGTACAATAGCAGGTATGGCAATGAAACCAAAAATAAGCGGCCATCTTTCCGGTGTGCCAAGTAGCATCGGATGGCCCATAAGCTGCAATTGTGCTTTCAGTATTTCATTCAAAAAAATCCTCTCGAAATTCGTGAAGAACCAGGAGGAATTTAATTCCATACGTATACGCGCGTGCGCTGAAAGGACTATGAGGGGAACTGTCGATCCTCCCACTCAAATTCTGCTGGAGTTCACTGGTATAGAAGTATGCACCCTCAGTATGGCTGTAACTAGTTGGTCTTGTCCTTAGTAATATGAGCTAGGAAACTAACTTTTATGACTGGAGAAAGCACGGTAGATGCCCCCACAACCGCCACACAAGTACGCGCCGCTACCACCCGCATGCCTACGGATTTGACTGCCTTTTCGCATATGGGATATGGAGTTTGCTAGGGAAGTCATACCTGGGAGAAAAGAATGGAGGCACAGATGAGAAGTTGATGAAATGAGCCGATGAATCCACGATATTTTGTTGGCGCGATTTCTATTTGATACATAGGCACGACTACCGAGATACCTATAAAAAAGTTATCACTGCAAACGAAATAGACCATTTGGTAGAGAAAGAAGCTTACCTACGTAGATCCCAATGAAAAAGCGTCCGAGGTACATCATAGTGTAAATGCCGGCATACTTTGCTGTACCCATAAAAGCAGCAGCAAGGAAAGCAATGATGTTCGTGTAGAGCAGACAGCCTCTTCTACCAGCTGCGTTGGCCAGCACTCCCGAAATCAATCCCCCGACTGCTCCGCCCACTCCAAATAGGGCAACTATCGTTTGGCTGAAACAATGGATCTTATTGATGTGAAAAAATGAGCTTCGACTACATGGAAGCAAAAGCAAGAGCGCGAACCTGTCGCATGCGGTAAGCGGCACAAGCGCTACGAATGGAGCATGCAACCCACTCACGCGTACAATGAGCGCTTAGCGCGCACTACGTATCGATTTCACCGCAACGCCGCACTTTCCGCTGACTATGGACCCATTGAAAGTGGCTCAAAGGTACTTAGGTCATTGGAATAGGGATGAAAGATAGATAATCAGTCTGCACGTTTTTGGTGCCATTCATAACAAATCAATTTGAGTTTGACGCAACATCGAAAGTCCTTAGTGATATACAGAGCGAGTATTATTTCCAGCTATTCAAGTGATATAATTATATTTCATAACTATTCTATGTAACGTTCTTGTACTTTTGTATGTCTATCTAGAATACGACCTAAGCTCCGATTGCTGGATGGATGACATTAGGGTCGGTCTTTGACTGCATGAGCCCTTTTTGGAAAAGGGCACGATATCAGAGATCACGCAGGAGATGAGCGAGCTTCAGCGACATCGACAACCGAAAGGATAGGTAGAGTCAGCCGTGAATCCACCCAATAGATCAACAGGGAATTTAATCATTGCAGATGATGAATTGGCAAGCAGTTGTACTAACTTTGCTCGAAAATATCCACCACAGCTGAACCATGAATGAAATTCACCTGAGTCTTCGGTGATTCGCTTGGTACAGTTTCAGATTTCCTCGTAAAACTACACGGAAGCGAGCGTCGACCTAGTGCTTCTACTATGGAGGCTAACAAGGATTCGAATAGTTACTGATCTGACTTCAAAAGACTTACTAGTACAGCTACTTAATTCTCTGTTAGCTCGTTTCAATGATAACAAAGGAGAAAAAGAATCTGCCAGGAATAGCAGCTAAGGACACGGCACGATCGACATATGCACCTTTTCTGAGGTAGAATAATACAGAAATGTAGCCCACAATGTCAGATCTGCCCTTCCTTGATCGAGTTTCTCTTCAAACATCTTCTCATGCGAAACCATGATCCATTCCGTTATCATCTTAAATCACCGTTCTCAAATACAGGTGTACTTATCAACTTTTTTCACGAACAAATGAAAACCGACCCTTTTCGGGGCGTTAATGCACCCAATACTGTAACCAAACTGGAACGACGTCATTGACGAACAAAATGTGGCAAACATCAACGAACTTGTGAGCTTACTCTGAAATATGACCGATTAAGCTGACATGGTAAGGATATGGAAATCTGAGCATCAAACCTTTTCTTTCACCACTTTGCGACGCCTCCGAGGGGTCTGGAATTTTCAATGACTACGATGGACTTGTAAAATTATGTATTTGCAAAGTTACTTTTTCTAGATATATCAGTTTGGCTATGCACGCTAACGCGCGCAGTATATGTCGACGGCCACTTATCCACGATGGAGACGTTCAGCGGAATTTTGGATAATCAGTATAGGATAGTTCTCTCTAGATTTGAACGCTGCTGAGAGCATTGCGCTCGATATGCTTCGTTTGAGCACAATTATTAGTGGTTGATCATAACTTCGTCCACCTCACCATCAGTGCAAACCCTAACCACTATAAACTTGACCACCCTTCCTTCTTTTGAGTGCTCCTAACCATTTTTTCCGCATTTTAGAAAGTTTTTGAGGGGATGAGTTTTTGGTCCTAGCCTCGCTTTCCTGTGCCAGCTCTGCCCAATTCGAGAATTTGACCACATTTGTTCCATTCCCTCTTCCCACTTTTTTCCCGCGTTCTAGAACGTTTCTGAACAGAGTTATAAAATTCTGATCCAGTCCCCGCCTATTTTAGTGCCAACCCCGCCCACTTCGAGAATCTAACCACATTTGTTCCATTACCTCTTCCCACTTTTTTCCCGCGTTCTAGAACGTTTCTGAACAGTTGTGAAATTTTGATCTACACCCCGCCTACTTTAGTACCAATCCCGCCCAATTCGAGAATTTGAAATCATTTGTTCCATTACCTCTTCCCACTTTTTCCCCGCATTCTAGAACGTTTCTGAACAGAGTTATAAAATTCTGATCCAGGCCCCGCCTATTTTAGTGCCAACCCCGCCCACTTCGAGAATCTAACCACATTTGTTCCATTGCCTCTTCCCACTTTTCTCCCGCATTCTAGAAGGTTTCCGAACGAAGTTACAGTCATTTTTCAAAAAAAGCTTTCACCTTAACGCACGTCCCGCCCACCGTGGGCGGGGCTTCGCTGAGCTTACGCATGCACAGCACGCATAAGGCCTTGCCCAATCTTTTTACTTTTTTTCCTGGCCCCCTACGCCTTCCTTGAATTGAGTGATGAATCTCTGTGGAAGGTACCGCCCACTGCGACATTTTTTCTCGGCGTCTGGATTGTTATGAGAGCGAATTAGAAGAATTTGCCCATTGCCCCTCCCAGTTCCGGCGCATGCCCCGCCCCTTGGGGGCGGAGCTCCGCTGAACTCACATGTGCTCTTTTGATCTTGCCCTATGCTCAACCCATTCCAAACTTGACCCGACCTCTCCAGGTGACTGTTCATGTTATATCGAATTTCCGTACAAACAAACAAACAAACAAACAGACAGACAGACGCGAGCGCTTTATATATGGTAAGGAAAGTAATTTTCTACGTAACGGTACCATATCTTGAGGTGAACGACAAAAAAAGAGGCGAGAGAGGTGTAAGTGATGAACAATCTGGACGGACATGAAAAGCTCAAAGCACAAGAGCCCCAACCGAGCGTATCTCTTTAACCTATTTGGCCGAGGCTCTAAGACTTGTTCTCAGTTTTGTTCTTATTTTTTTATCTTTTTATCTTAAGTTCTTCACTCTTCACTCCAAACTCTCACTTCAAACTTTACGTCTTTGCGGAAACCCGGAATGTGGATGATCACAACGGTACTTGGGTTGAAGAATGCGCCCTCGTGTGCAGTAGGTCTTTTGAAGTTGTAAAATCAGGAGTGATACCTGTTCTCCTCAGAGCTTACGGGGTTGAAGTCTGGCATCTAGTAAAACAATTTATGAATTCCACAAAATTTTTCTCCTTGAGAGAGGAGGGAGGTAAAGATCGGCGATTATATCTCAACGACAGCCGCTCTGTCAAGTCTCAAGTGTGATGAAACCGTTAGATGAAAGATCCCAATTTTTCCTTCACAATGTTCCTGGTATGTACCTGGAGATGTGAGCCCAGTATAAGTACAGCCCCGCAGAAAAGGAGCAGCTCTGTGGACTTGTTGAAAAATAAGAAAACAGCATCCAGAAAACCTCAGTAACACCAACAGGGAGACTTTTTAACATTTCATTGTATTCTAGAGTGTTCCCGATTGTATTGCAGCAAATTATTTGCTTTTTGGTTTTATTACCCAAATCTGATAAAATGTGATCAACTGCATGACTTTCCTCACCTTTTGCCCACGAAACCTGCCTAACCAGTACATGTTCGGATCTGCATCCAATCTCATTATCCGATCCATATATAGCTCTTCTGGCTTAAATAAGCAACTTTAATTGAGGTTACCAGCTTTATACTGAATTCTGCATACAAACTAGTTCAAAGAGAGCTGATAACTAGGAAATACAGATTCCAGTAAGATCTGAATCAAAAGAAACACAACATCAAATCAAGC